CTTGTCCCAGGCAGTCTTTGTGCAGAGAACAACTTATGTAACTGTATGCGACGACCCTAGTCCTAGCCAACTAATCCCAGTGTTAGTGTGTTAGTGTGAGCAGGTGAAGGAAGATTGTCTTTGAGTTTCCAACTGGCCTGGGGCCAGAGGCAGCTGGCAGGGGTCCAGAGAAAATAAGGCCTCCCCAGTAAACTGAGCCACAGCACCATGAAAATGGAGGATTTCCCCCGCAGTTCCCAAGTCCTTGCCTCTAACTATACTCTTCACCAGCAAAGGGAGCAGCAGGCACTTACTGGCACTTTCTAACTGAACGTGGGCAGGTCCCAGGCCTTCTAGGAATCACTGGGCCGTAACTTTGGGTCACTGACTGGTCACAGCCCAGGTCTGCTCCCGAACCTCCCTCCACAGGAATTGCGCTGGACTTCATTCTCAGTGCTCTGGAGTTGAGCTGTGGGTCTGATTTGCATCAACGCTATTTCTTTGTTGAAAGGAGCAGGACTCGGAAGTCTCAGAAGCCTCAGACATTTCTGGGCTTAATGAGCTGAGCAGACGGAAGGCGGCCTAAGATGGCCTCAGAGTAGGTGGGCTGTTGGGACCGGGGCGTGGAGTTTCCGTAGTTGTGTCTGTGCCAGAGATCCCCCTCTGGAGAGCATGAGCGTGGCAGGTGAACGTTGAGACTCTGGGCCTTCCTCTCTGGGGGAGGCGGGACGCAATTCCTAGATGCTTGCCATCTGCCTGCAATGGCCAGAGCCGGGGAAATTGAATCCATGGATTTTTTAAATCTAGAAGGAAGGGAAACTCCACCCGGGAAATATAACTCCAAGTAAAGTGTGTGGAAGCAGGATGTTTAATTGCAAACCTTTCTTGAGACCCAGCTGCTGGGTAATGTTATCTTGGCTGCTCCCGGGGCCGGAGGAGAGTTTATCTGGGCCCCTAATGCAGGCCCAGTAAACAGAGCTGGCTTTCTCCGATGACCCTTGCCCTGTCCCCCTTCCCCTCCACCTGCTCTTTCTCTGCAGTTTATCGCTAGGGTTTCCAGCCCGGCCAGCTCAGGGAGGCCTGAGAAACTCTGATGTGGGAGTAGAGGGTGTGAGCCGGGCTGGAGTTTTGTGCACCATTGTGCATCTGGAGTGATAACTAGGATGGTCAAGGTTTGGAAGAAGACAGACAAGCCTCCAGCCCAGATGTAGGAAAGGGGCCTGAAGGCTGTCTGCAGATCCTCTGGGCTTATCTCCAGGGAGGTCTCTGACCATTTCTTCAGCTCAGGATTTACACTGTTTATCCAGGAGGGCAGGCTGGGAATGGGGGTGGGGGGCTCTGGCAAATCCCAGAGGTTTGGGAGAATCTGGGAATGGTGGCTCATTTCCCCACCCACCCCACCACCCCCACCTAAGTCACCAGAGGGCCTGTCTTTCATGTGTGTTCAGGTAAAGGGTTAGACAGAGACGATGCCCTATGACTTTTCAACTATTTTGAAGAGTAAAGGAGAAAGGACTTTCTAAGGCAGGTATGCCTTGGTCATGTGCTAGTTGGTCCTAGACTAGGAAATAGGAGGTGTGTGTTCCTGTCCCAGCCCTGTCACGAACGAGGTGAGCACGACTGCCCAGCAGCCCTGAAGGCTGCGCGCATCAAGTAGAGGGAGAGTCTGCGAGTCTGGGCAGCTGCACTGAGGCCTCGCCGCTGATGACAAGGAAGGTCCTGAGAGTGAAACCCAGGAGTGGTTGACTCCAAGTCTGTGCCTGTTTCCCTGGCAAATCGCCATCCCAGGTCCTAGGTTCCTCCTCTGCACAAGGAGAGGCCTCCCAGCTGCCACAGGCAGTGAGCCTGTGATTAATTCTCTCTGGGAGGTGAAGGGAAGCCCCTAATTACTAGCGTGGAGGGAGCACGGGTCATGTTAAACCCCAGTTAAGCCCTTCCTCTGGGTCCCGCTTGGTTGGCCAGGGAGAAAGACGGCTGTCTAATGGCCTGCGAGCGGGTGCAGACACTCTCCCAGGAGGGCCCAGCTGCTTGGGGCCTCCTTATGGTGCATCTGCCCCAGCGGAGGTCAGGAAGGCTCACCTGGTCATGCGCAGCGTCTGCGGGAAGGGGGGATGCAGGAGGGAGTGCAGAGGTAGCAGGCAGGATTTGGGAGCCAAGAAGCTGGGAGTCAGCATGCGGGACGGGTGGATTATAACCCCTGTGACAACTGCCACAGTTGGTGAAGCCAGTTGTGTATGAGAGTTTCCTCTGTGTCCACCGACTTTGTAGTGTTCTTAACCACTAATTTCTGTCTGGGCCCCCAAGTTTTGTCTCTTTTTAGTCTTGGGCCCTCAGAATTAACATGCCTGCCTCATGTTCCTCTAGGTTTACCCCCTAAACAAGGGTTGTATAGACTTTTCAGATCACCCAAAGCTTTATTTAAAAATTCAGTCTGATCAAGTTGTTTGATTTAAATATCCTCACTCCTGAATTTACATATAGGGAGACAGTCCAGTGTGGTTAAGAGCATGGGGGATTAGACTCAGCTGGACCTGGGTTCAGTCCTTTGCCCTGTATTTTCCCAGCTGTGTGATCTTGGGCAAGTTATTTGGCTTCTCTGAACCTCGGCTTCCTCTTGTGCAAAATGGGCATATAGTGGTAGCTACCTCATTGGCCCGAAGATTAAATGAGCTAATGCACATGGTTGCTTTACACTGTGCTGGCATGAAGTAACCATTACCTAAATGGTTTCTACAATTTATTGTGTGAGATGTATGTTTATATATGATATAAAGCAAAGCATATCCCTATGTATTTATTATCATCATAGTTTGAGCTTGTGCGGATAGGGATGACCTTTTTACTTTATGTTCTTTCTTACTGGGATCACATAAAACATGTCAGGGTGGCAACACTCAGGTCTATTTGCTTTGCTTTATGGCCCTCTCCTTGGATGCATTTCAGAAAAAACACTCCTCACTGCACGAGGCTAACTCTGTGACATAGAGATCGGATAGGGAAGGGACTAGATTCAGAGCTTGTTTGCTTGGCTGTTGACTGAGCAGCCAAACATAAAGCCTCACACTCCTGTGTGCAAAATCCTTACTTAAGTGGACTAAATGTTCATGCCCCCTCCCCCTGTTACCCACCCCAAATCCACATGCTGAAGCCCTGATCCCCAGTGTGATGGTGTATGAAGTGGGACCTTTGGGAAGTAATTATGTTTAGGTGAGGTCAGGAGGGGAGGGTCCCAGTGAGGGGATTATAAGAAGAAGAAGAGACTAGAGCTCACTCTGTCTTCACCATGTGAAGATACGGCAAGAAGGCAGCCACCTACAAGCCAGGAAGTGGGTTCTACCAGGAACCTTGAACCTTGATCTTGGACTTCCAGCTTCCATGACCGTGGGACATAAATGTTGCTGTCTAAGCCACCCAGTCAGTGGTATTATGTTATAGCAGCCAGAGCAGACCAAGACAGCCCTGCTCCAGGCATCTGGCAAAGTTAGCCACTCTGATGCCAAGGTGTCTAAATGCTGCTCCTCTTAGCTAATGTTCCTTCCTTCTCACAGTGGCTATGACCCTGGCTTCTCTGGCCAGTTTGTTCTTCTCTCTGGTAGAGTCAGTCCCTCAAACCTGCTGAATCAGAGTCCCTGGGCAGAGGCCTGAGAATCTGGATTTTACAGAGCTCCACAGGTGATTCTTACGGAAGGGGCATCCCGGCAAGGGAACTAGTGCTGTGACCTACAGCTGCTCAGTGTCCTCTGAGGGAGAAAGAAGGTGGGGGTCTTGCCCATGTCTTAATGCTGGGTCACCCTCCCTTAACGCTGTACCTGGAGAAATCACAGCAAGCACCAAGGGGGATGTTCAGTGGAACAGCCCCGAAATTGTGTGAGGGGACCCTCCCTGTAATGAAGACCTCTCCCAGGAAGGCGTGTCTTTGGTGTGGGTTTAGGTAAGAGGGACAGAAATGGTGTGGAATTAGGTCAGATTGTGTGGGCCAGTGACTTTCTCTCATTCTCCAGTCAGCAGTCCCGCCCACCTCCTGGACCAGGTGAGCCTTCCAGAGTGGCCTGAGGCAGTAGTCTCAGACAGTCAGATTGAGCACTAGGAACTGGGGTGACATTGAGAATGGGGTCCTAAAATTCCTTCATTTCAGATAAGTTTGCAAACCTTCCATAAACTAACTTCCATCCTGCAAACCTACCTCTCATCCAGAAAGTCAGTTTGGTTGTTCAGTGCAGCAGAATGTTTTCTGAGCATGCGATCTGTGCCAGGTGCAGAGCTAAGACGTAGGGATACTGGGATGAATCACACATCCCTGAAATACTTAGTCTCCTGAAGCAGGTTCAGAGTGAGTTCTGAGGGTCAACAGTGGCAGAATAACCTGGAGTGGTTTGTTTAATACATAGATGCCCTATTTCAACAAATGCACCACTCTGCTAAGGGGTGTTGATAATGGAAGAGGTGTGCATGTGTTGGGGCAGGGGATAAACGGGAACTCCTTGTACTTCTCAGTTTTTCTGTGAACCTAAAACTGCTCTATAAAAATAGTTTTAAATAAAATAAGATAAAATGTAGATCCCTGAGCACTGCCCCCTACCCCCAGCCCAGGTCTACTTATGCAGAATTTCAGGGGTGAGGTCTTGACATCTGGAATTTTGGAAGGCCCTTTGTGGAATCTCCTTCACCATAAAGTTTGATAACTAGTGGAAATTAGCTGCTTAAATATTTAAACAACACCAAATTTATTTTCATTGTGTAAAATACATATAAACAAAAAGGAATTAAAAACCACTTGTAACCCTGCCCTCTTAAGATAATCATCCTTAGCATTTTATTAAATATCCTTATAGATGTGTGTGTGTATGTGTTTAGACACATATCTGTAGTATCCATTTGTTCCTGGCACTGTGCTAAGCCCTGGGACAGAGATGAGAAAAAGAACGGTCCTGGCCACGGACCACCCACAGTTAAACGATGCCTGGCACAACATAATGCCAAGCCTTAGTCACCCACTTACCTGCTCTTACCTTTCCCCACAGGTATACATCATCAATGTCACCTGGTCCGACTCCACTTCCCAGACCATCTACCGGAGATACAGCAAGTTCTTTGACCTGCAGGTGAGTGGATCTGAGCTCGCATGGTGTTTGGTTCTACCTGAAGTGGCCTGAGTCGCTGGTGGGCTGGCCTCTTTCATGTCGTCATCCAGAGCACTCCCGCCTCAGCTCTCAGGGTCAGAGTCTAGGCAGAGCAGAGGGACTGAGAAGGGAATCTCAGCAGTTGAGCTGGGCTGGGCTTAGTCGTGGATGTTACAGGCAGACACTTGGGGCTTTGTTGGCTTCCTCAGATGGTTTTCACAGTCGTGCTTTGTCACCCTCCTTCCTCTGGGGGGTAGGAAACCAAAGTGGAGGCGTGGGAGGATGGCTGTGGGTGCTGTGTGCCTGAGCAGACATGTGTCTATAAACATCCAGGGTGAGACACAAACCACCACAGCATTGCAGGCAAAGAAAAGCAAACACACAGAAAAGACTGAAACAGAAAATAAGCAATTTCTTGAACTACAGGCACAAACCAGGCATACCACTGTGTCTGTCTAACCAAATAAAGCTCTTGTTGCTCTGTTTGTACACATGTATGATATGTGTGTCTCTAACACATGCAGGCATGTCACACAGGAGGATGGAAGCATGGATCCCACAGCTCCATTGTAGACATTTCCCTTGATGCCAACTAATCTGGTTAGGCCTCTTTGGGTTACAAGTGATCATTTTACACTCATACTGGCTTAGACAACAAGGGGACTTGGTTGGAAGGATATACCAGAGAAGCTCATGCAGCCTGCCAGATGATGGGAAGGGGAGTGAGGTGGTGGGCTTCAGAAACACCTGCACAGAGGCTGCTCTCCCGCTGTCTTGTCTCAACATCTCTCTGGGCTCTTTCCTGAGCTTTCTGAGGGACCAGCTGTCAATAGCTCCAGAACTGCATATCTTGTGGTTCCCAACTGCAGAGAGACTGCCTTTCTCCCAGTTCCAGATTGAAAAATCCCAAGGAAGATTCTGATTGGCCTGGCTTGGGTCAGGTGCCCTCTCTGCACCAATCACTGTGGCCGGGGGCAGAGGGGCATGAACACAGTTGTGGCCACTAGGGGGCACACCCCTGTTTATCAGAGGCAGGCACCAGACAAGGCAGAATGATTGTGAGTTGGGCAACAACCTTGCCCACACTAGGAAGGGAAAGCCGAGAGATTCTAGGTTCTTCCTTAGGGCTGTGAGCCTAGTTTAGGCAAATGAAAACACAAAAAAGAGACACCCACTTCTGGCCCTCCCAACCAAGGTCCGCTCCTTCCTTTGCGGGCCTCTGGTGGTGAGTCATCTTGGAGAGGCTAGACTCGCATGTTTGCCCCAAGTACCTGATTTTATCCATTGTCCTTATCGCTCTACCTAGGAGATGTGCCACAGGTGAGCCAGCTTCCTGTGTTACAGAGCCTCTCTTAATCTAACAATATGGGGCTGAATATCCCATTGAATATGGGGTTGAAAGCCACTCCTTACTGTCCTGCCTTCTTACTCTTGCCTGTCAATTCCTGTCCAATCTCCTCATGTCCTTCCAGCATAAATTGTTGGGACTTGCTGATATCCCATCAATGGGTGTTGTGTGCTTTACAGGAAATGATAACTTAGCTGGGGAGAGGGAACCCTGAAAGGACTCATTGATGAGCCAGGGGGGATTCTGAGAGCCAGTGGAAACTCTCAAATCAGAACTTTTCTTCCCCCACTTTCTGGTCTGTTCCCCTACCCCCCTCCCTATTTGCAGAATCTCACAAGAAAGGAATGCTGCTTCCCCCATTCCTCCTTGCCTGGAGGGCTCATTTCCTGTGTGTCAGGCGGCGGCACGGCAAGAAGCAGCTTGTGCGATGTGCTGGTCCTGGTCAGGAGCACCACCCCTGTCCTTGTGGGTCATTGCTACCCTGTAGATGCAGTTTGGAAAGGTGTTGGGATGGTTCTTTGGAATTTAACCTTTAAACCAAGCATCTTTGGGAACCCATTTTACAGAACTTGACATAAGGACTTTTAGTGGTGGAGCCTTTCTTATTCATCTGGATCTCTGATTTTAATGCGTCAGCTCCTATAGAGGAAGAACAAATGGCACTGCTAATTCCGTCCCTGGTCATTGGTGGCTCTCAGAGCTCAGCTTGGAGCTGAGGCACTGGTTGCTGGCTCTGTCGCTCTGTAACTCCAGGCAGATTCCTTGACTTCTTGATTTTCTCATCTGTAGAGTGAGGATTTGAATGGTACCCACCCAGTAGGGTTGTTGTGAGGATTAAACGATTGAATTCATGCTTTTCCCAACACATGGTTATCTAGTGACTTACTCAGTGCTAACAGATGACAAGGATGCCAGGCTGCCTGGTCGAAGGGTCTGGGGGCTTAGTACCTCCAACCATGGTGTTGCTTTCTTATTTCTCTTCCTTGGCTTCACTGTACTGAGGAGCTAGTCTGTCCCAGGCCTGTGCCAGAGTATTCAGAGTCCCACAGGCTCTCTGGAGCTTGCCACTGGGGCAGGACGGAGTAAGTTGGGAGCAGGTTGTGGCCCACAAAAGGCTGCTCTCAGAATCCTTTTGCTCCTCCCATTTTTGGCTGAGCCCCACCTTGGAACCCTGGAAGTTCTGGGCTGACTAAGCCAGCCTGGGGGAAGTGCTTAACTGCCTTTACCAACTTGTGCTTCTGGGCCTTCTGGGGACCATATACTGTGTTTAGTATGAGTCTATCCTAAATATTGCAGGAGATAATGCTAAAAAGTTATTCAGTGTTTATCTGAAATTCAAATTTTATCTTTGTCCTATATTTTTACTTGCTAAATCTGGCAGCCTTAATTTGGCTGTGTGTGGTAAGTGTGGCAGGATAAAGATGAAGAAGCCAGACTGGCTTGGGGTGAGAAAGAGCTGGCCTTTGCCGAGGCCCCCACCACATTTGTGCTTTCGCAGGGCACAAGCGGCACAGGCTGACAGACACTCAGTTGAGAAGGACAAGGCCCCTTTCTTCTAGGAGTCTATATCTGGTGGGGAAAATAGACTTTTAAGCGATTAAGTCCACTGTAGATGATACTAGATTGAAGTACAAGCAACATGCTGTGAGATGAAGAGGAAGGAAAGAACATTCTTCTTGGGAGGGGGAAACTAAGAAGGTACCCATATGGTTTTGATTGGTTTCAGCAGCTTAGAGTGATGTAGCCACCCACCCCCACTCCAGTTTGGGAGGATATAGTTGCTTTTTGAGACTTAATAGTTATCAGAGTAAAGTATGTCCTTAACTTATTTCTTGCTTTGTTCGTTCATTTATGCCTGCTGCTCTGCCTCCTTCTCTCCATCTGTGCATCCATCTGTCCATCCGTCCATCCATCTATCCATCCATCCTCGATCTTTCCAATCTTAAGTGCTGGCCTTCTATGTCCCAGGCAGGATGCCAGGCTCTGGGTGGGGATTTAGGAGCAAGAGCAGATCTGGTTACTGCCTTTATGGAACTTATAGCTTAGTGAGGGAAGACAGATTTTAGTTTAAAAATATATACATGTATTATTTTACACTGTTTAAAATCCTACAAAGAAAAGTACCATAGACATATTATAGGGAAACCTTACACTCTGGTATTGGAGCAGGCTTCCCTGAAGGGGTAAGTTTATCCGCCAGATCAATGAGTTATTTTATTTTATTTTGGGGATCAGGGTTTCTTTTGTGCATCTCTCCAGACAAGCATGAATGTACATACACAATTCTAATAACCTTCTTGGTCTTTCACATCCCCTTGAAATCCTTCCAAGGGCACTAAGAAAAAATCCTCTGTCCCAAACCTTCTTCTCCCCCCATATCTTCTGCCTTGAGCCTTCAGACCCAGTGGTTCTGCCTCTTCCTCGCACAAGAGGCTGCTCACAGAACCCAGCCCTGTTCTCGCCCACTGAGAAGCACCAGGGATGGAGCCTTTAGACCCATGCCAGCCAGTGCAGTAGCCTTTAGCCACGTATGGCTAGTTAAATTTAAATTTAAATTAATTTGAAAACTTCAAGGCTAATTTTTAAAAATTAAATTGTTTTTCATTTATTTTTAAAAATGAAATGAAGTTTAGTTTCTCGGTCATGCTTCTACATTACAAGTTCCCAATGGCCACAGTGGCTAATAGCTACATATTGAGCATATTCAGAGCATTTCAATCATCACAGAAGGTTCTATTGGCCTGTGCTGCCCTAGACCATCTGGGACACAAAACAGGCCTGATCTGGCTTTAGGCCCACCCCTGCGTGCTCTGCCACCTCCCAGCCCCTCCCTAGTTGTCCTCTAACATCTTCTAGGGCCCTGGCGGGAGGAGGGAGACTATGTTCCACCATGATTTGCCCCATCCATAGAGCAGTTCCGAGTCAACAGCTATTCCAAACGCCTCTTCTGGAAACCAGGTCAGTTACTAGAGAGGGCTTCTAAGGGCATTTCAGATGTCAAGTTGGGAATAGGGAGAGAAGAGGCTCTTGGTCTCCAAGTGGAAATTGCTTTCTTCTAAAAATAATCCACCACTCAGTCCTATCTGACCAGGAAAGGGACCTGTCCCAGAGGGAGCTGGCAGGGTCAAGGCCTGAGGTTGAGGCCCATTTGGTTATAAAGAGCTTGGATTTCTTGGAGGTGCAAGAAGAAGGAGGGAAGGGAAGAAGGAGGAGGGAGAAGAGGTGCAGATGCTCTTAAGTTGCCTTCTCATGGGCGCTGGACCACATTTCCAGCCTCTATAAATTTCCTTGCACAGCTCCTTCACTGTTAAGTATCCCCCGAAGGCCTGGCCCCACTGAGGACAGACCGGAAGGCTCTCTGAAGCTCCGGCTCCATCGAAGGTTGTTTCACAATCTGACCTACAAGGTGCTGGGATGCAGTAATTGCTCTGCAAACATTAGCTCCACAGTGCTGCTGGCCCTTTAGTCTGAACTCCGGCCAGTGAATGCACAGGGTCAATATTTGATCAGCGCTGGGAGAGGCCCCCACGCTAGAGCTGAGAAGGTTGTTCAGGCTTGCTCATTTGCTCTAAAGGACTTAACCTGTTTTGAAGAGCTTTTATCTCTCTTCCTTATTCATCTCTCCAGCCTCTCC